TTTTCGTACAAAAATAATGAAACGCGAGCGACTTATGCGCTATCTCCTAAGACGTCAAACTTTTGAAAAATGCAAAAAAAATTAGTTTCTATTTCATTCTATATAAAATTTTCGACACTTTCGTGATGTCATAAGTCTTTTGAATAGTATATAAATTTGAATAGTATTTGGTAATTCAACAATCCAGTCAGTAATTACAAACAATTATATTATTTTCTTGACACTAATTATAATTATTACAGAATGTTTCTTCCATCAATAATCGTTGAAAAACTGATCAGATCTCAGAATCGAAATAACTCGAAAGAATTTGTAATATTTAGAAAATAAAAGAGCATTTGTAAATGTAATTACTTACGCACTTAAGGCTTCTTAAAATTAAGCATGAATTTATAATATATTAGTGTAAATTAGTTGAATTTTCAATTCTTTCATATTTTACACGTTTAATTATTTCGTTACTACTAATAATATAAAAATAAAGGTCAGTGTAAATGACTTGATTCGTCGGTTCTTTCAATATTACACATTTTTCAACATTATTTAAATATTACATACATAAATGTATATTATTAGAGATGCATGTGTTTTGTTGAAGTGTACAGGTATTACTGGAAATCTTATGAAATTTTCATGTTTTTCGTGAATATAAAAAATTTACTCTACGCAATTAGAGTCCTTGTAAGGTATCTACTTTTAAGAAAACTCTTGAATTGAAAATATACCTTTCGAATTACCTTTGATTAACCCTTCGTGAAATGAACGAAGCAAATTGCAAGTATTTAATAACGAGTATTTTGTTTTTCTAATAAAATTCATGTTTAAAATTTGTTCTAAATGAAAACAAATTTTATGTTCCAATTATAACGTCGAGAATTTTTTATCACATTTTATACTGCATATTATAGTAAAAGGATGTGCAATTAAATAAAAAACACTATTTTTTCATTTACACCATATATTCTTCTTTTTCATTTACACTACATCCCAAAAATAGTTGCACATTTTATATTTTTAAGTATAATAAAAAGCTTTGTTAAATGTTCATTAAAATCCACGGTTTGTCGAATTTATTTCAGTATTTAATAGCAGGTATTTTTCTTTTTAATAAAATTCGTATTTTAAATCTGTTCCAAATGAGAACAAATTTTTTTCTATTTCAATTATAATGTCTACAATTACTTATCAGGTCTTGTATTGTTCGTCATAGTTTATATCGTTATAAAAGAATGTGCAATTAAACGAAAACGCTATTTCTTCATTAACACTATTTTCTTTATAATCCCCAAAATATCTTAATTGCACATTTCGTATTTTTATATAAACTAAAAAGCTTAGCTAATCCTTTATTAATATCTGTTAAGATCGAAAGTTTGTCGAATTCATTTGGCATCCTGTAATTAATAAATTGCCAACATAAGTAGTACTTTAAGTCTTATACCTCCTAATTTGAAAACAGTCTTTTTCCCTTGCTTGGTGAAGTTTATTAATGATCGAAGGGTGAATTTAACTTGGTAAAGATAAAGATTAATCACCTCGTCTGACCGGTTCATCAACTGTCGAGCATATTACAGTATACTGTGTCTATTATTTAACATGAACATCTCAATTAACCAAAAATCGAGATTAGAAAGTAATTAAGATACTTCAAATTGAGTTCCTTAGTTGCCTCGTGGCTTAACACATGCAACGTAATAATTAATCTCTGTAACAGAGTTAAATTGCATCGAGCAGTCTTCACAGTTAAAAAGTTAAACTGAAGTTTCATGTAAATTTCTAAGATAGATGAATGATGTTGCTTAAGAAAAAATGTCAACTAAAAAAACGCAGATTAAAATTTACACAAATTAAACAAATAGTTCGTTGATATATTTAATGCAACGATTTCTTCTTTGACTGACGATTTTATTCGTTTTACAGGAAGAGAAACAGTGTTTGTTTAATTGAGATTGAAAATTGAAATTTAATAATAAAAATGATGTTTTTATTTTGTTTTTTCCAGCAAATGCGAAACCGTTGACTTTCGATGAAGTGTACAATCAAAGTAGTCCGACCAACTGCACGGTGTACTGCGGCGGGTTGACCAATGGTTTGACAGAAGAGCTAATGCAGAAAACTTTCTCGCCTTTTGGATCCATCCAGGAGATTCGTGTATTCAAAGACAAGGGTTACGCTTTTATCAGGTAAATCAATTATTGTTATTAATATTCTCCTCCTCCTCCTCCTCCTCCTCCTCCTTCTTCTTCCCTTTCTTCTATGTAAGTTAATACATATATTATTCATCTCTGAAGTTTTTCATTAAATTTCATTCGCTAGAACTGGAAATTGAATAGCAAGAATATCAAAAATCGAGTATCACGAGGTAACTCAAAATTTGGCAAAATGCGTCGAAAAAATTCTTACGTCTTCTACTAGTGTAGTAAACCTTCTCCGGCGATTTTCAGAATTTTTTATGTTAGATTTGGAGGAAAAAAAGAATCAGAATCGTATTCCAATATCTGAATTTGCAAACTTCAAGGATTATCGTTTAACCTAAAGTACAATCTATGGGGTGTCTTATAATTCTGTCTAGTGTACATCGGTCGTGTTAACAATATTTAATTAATAATATACTGCGTTCATCAACAGCTACTGAGGCTGACTCCTTTAACTTTTGCAATATCAAGTAGTTAACTCTTCAACGAACCAATTCCTAAACTGAGAAGTACTAATTTTTCAAACTCATCGTAAATGCAATAAAAAATGTAAATTCTCCAGAATAAAAGTTCACGTCGTAATTAGTTGAAAAATCCTCGTCTAACGTGAATCGTAGAATTTCTATTATCGAAGATATATAATCCCCTCGCAACGAAAGTTCAGCCGGTTTGACGCCGGTTCTGGAGAATTACCGGACCGCGGGGCGGACTTCCGGAGAAAGTTATTAATTTCAAAAGTTTCCGTCGCCTAAGTATAACCGCGGTAGAGCCCGACGCGACGATCCCTCGATTTCTTGACGTCCCAGAAGATCTCTCGCCGCGTCGCATTGTTGTTGAAACACCGTTCTGATACACGTCACGTGTAATATCTCGCGGAGATGTCACGGTAACGGGGAGTCCCCGAGGTGAAGCCGAGGTGGCACCGCGAGGCAGTCAAAGATCATCGCGACACGATAGGAAAGAAGAAAGCGAGCAAAACGGGCGGAGTTAAGCTGATCGATAGAAAAAGTTCTCACGTACTACCAGCACCAGCACCGGCGACCGCGGTGCCGCAGAGTGCTGGCAAGTTTCGGAGAATGAATTCTTCACACTTTAGCCGGATTTCCTTTCGCCGAGCGAGAACTTCTCAAGCCGACCGGTCTAATTGGACGATATTGCATTAGGGACGTTTTACGCCTCTAATAAAGTCGTAAAAGGTGCGAGAAGTACAGCGACCGTGTTGTTTCCTACCGAGAAATCATTCCTTTTATATCGTTTCTTTATATTATATTTTTTACGACAAGGGCTTTACATGACAAACAGGAAAATAAATTACATAACGCTACTTTTACCAACGGCGTCTACTAAATTCCGACAGCTCTACCCATATGGACGTAAGAGACCTCTTGAATTAATCAGTCTATTTATTATTATAGGAATTATAATATAATATAATTTAATGTACCACCTGAAAAAAGGCCACCTAAATATTCATTGTCTATACATGAAAAATTCCACTCAGAAAC